TAATGCAAAAATGTGTACATAATTAATACTCGTATACATAAGTAATACTCGTAGTAGGATTGTTGACGGCAATAGAAGTGCCAACAATATACACGACGATGATGGCCAATGTCGGGAACTTCTCCCTCAGCACACTCAGTGTGACGTAATCCAAATCAACAAACTTGAGAGGCTTCATTGTGTTTCAAGGGCGGTGTTTAGTTTCTAGCGAGTTCGCTGTTGATGAGGGGTTTCTCATTAATGGATGGTAACTTAAGTGCGGAAAAGAGCAGTTCTTAGCAGTTAAAGTCTACTGAAGCTGAAACAATACTTGTTGAAACTTTGCAAAACCGTTAAGTCCCATACAAATTATTTCACGTTAATGATCGCTTAATGTCTCTAATAATTATTATTTAATTGCAAATTTAAGTAATTTTGAAATTGTTGTTTAAATATTCCCACTAACGACTCGTTCATATTATTAAGGTTATTGCGATTACATTTAAAAAACTAGTACTATAACAGCACATACTTTCTCGCATTATTTCTAAATTTGCAATTTTCGAAAATTCAGAGATTTCAACGAAAACGAGATCCGCGCGATTCTTTGAAGCGTCTCTTCTTCTATCCGTAAAGAAAGCTTGAAGTAAAAATTTGGAGTTCTTTTTCAGAAAACATATTTTTTATAAGTTGTGTTTATTTTAAGGCCAAATTACGCGAAAACTTTTTTCGAAAAAATATACATAACGTTTTTAAAGAGCTGATGTTTTGGAAAAGATTTTGTCAAAGATAAAAATATTGATTTTCAATCTTGTATTTTTGAAATGTTAACTTTGCGCAATCTCCGAAAAAAATGGAGAATTCGCTGAAGATTAGGTTAGTACCACATTTTTTACCGTCCCTTGGTGCGGACATATATGGACAGTTCTTATTTTTTGTGTATCTAAAAATTTTCGTAGCGAACTTTGTACATTTGAGGAGTAATTTTAAAGAAAAATTTTGAGCAGATTTTAAGAAACAGAAGTTGTTTAGCAATTTTAACTGTTTATATTTCGCGCGAAAGTACACGAAAACTACTCATATTTTCGAAAAATTGAATAGGACCTAATTTCAAGATTTGCCTTTAAGAAACTTTATTATAGTTGTAGGAAAACGCCAGAAAAAAATTCACTTTTGCAATTTTCGAAATGTCTGGAATATAAACGAACATGAGACCTGCGCCATTCTCTTGCGTACAAAGATACAGTTTAATAAAAAAAATTGTGAAATTTTTTAGAACATTTTGAAAATATTTTGAGGCAAAAAAGTAAATGTATCACAATAATACTAAGTAGTGTGAAATAAGTAACACTTGATTAATTGATATTTGGACTTGTTACATTGCCAGATAATAATCAACATACGTTCAGTAACACGTCATTATCACGGTAAATGTTTCTGCGATTATCTCAAACTAACAATCTATTTTCCAAATCTCATTCATATTGATGCATTGAATTGATAGATATTAATTCAATGCATAATGTCAGCAACACCTCACCAGCATTCCGACAATTCACTAAATTGCTCCAATCATTTCAACATGAAATTATTTAATCAATGTATTACAACATTTATTGGCTTGACATTGCAATCACAAATAATAGCAATGATCAACTTGTAATAAACTTTTTTATCAGTACTAATAATTGAAATACTGTCCCTTTTTCATTGCTGTTTATTTTCGATTCTGTCCGGTGTGAAGGAGATACTTTCATCTCCTTATTTGATATAAGTTGTATTTTTCTGTTTGTTTGGTTTGGGAATATTGCTGTGTAGTAGTAGTTAGGTCTTCGAAAAAACGTTTTTGTGGGTTTAGAACACTTGCAAGGCATATGTTGGATCAATGAAGCTATGTATCTTCAAATAGGTAATCAGGGACAGGCAAATGCAATATTTCCAATTTAGTTCAAATGTGCAAAGTTTTCTCATAACTCAGTACTAATAAACATTATTATTATTATTAATATTATTAATATTATTATTAATATTATTATTATTAACTTTGTATTCAAAAAGAGATTACTTAGAGTTTTTATATAAGAAACAATTTTCAGCATCAAACTCAGTAAAATTTCATGATTTTTACTTTAAATGAGAGCCTCAGATGTGTTATCGCTTACTCCTATTCCGAGTAACAACGTAACAACCAAATACATTTACTATTTCCTTTGTTACTCCTCAACATTTTAGACAGACATTCAAATTGTTACAAATCACATAACTTTAAATTCATTTCGGGATATGTCGCCCAATCAATTATAAACATTCATTAATGAATTTTTGTTTAACTCTAAGTACACAATAAGAGTGATTCTATTGTTCCACAATTTGTAAACCACCTTCATTTAATTAGTCTTAGAGAATAAGTACTGAACGACAGGAAATATTATTTGTGGGGCCGCTGAGTGAATACGTTGTTATTTTTTGTTATCATTTTTTTCTACAGTTATTCAGTTTGTGCCATCGCAAGTGTTCAGCACATTCTATTTTTCAATTTTTATTAGATTTAAAATATTTGAACTATGTTGCAGTGTGTTTTATTACCCCAGAACGCAATTGCATCTGCAGAATTGTTTTATCTCTTTCTTTGACTATTATTATTATTATTATTATTATTGTTATTGTTATTATTATTATTATTATTATTATTATTATTATTGTTTACTCCTATTAACTTATAATAAATTCAATGGCCTATACTCTCACTGACATTTTATCTATCTCTTCCAGGATCTGCCAAATCTTAATGTTTGCGATCTCCTGTTGTGTGCGTGTGCATAAGAACGTGAAAATTAGTATCTACTTTCAGAACGCTTTTAATAACACGCACAATCGCGGAGAAGATGTGGTGGGTAACACACAAGACAATACCCTTGTACGCACCACGGCGCCGACCCTGCCGTCGCTTGTGCCGCCGCCCGCCGCCTGCGACTTGTGTTGGCCCCTCGCGATTCGTGCCCACCGCATTTACGACCGCCCCCGCGGCGGCGCGCGTCCACGACGCCCAGACACCGTCCCCGGTTCCACCCCGCCCCCGCAATCCACCCCACCACCGCCGACGCCCGCCGTCGTCGTAAAAGATATGGCGCCGTTACATCGCCCGGCGGCGAATCGGCACCCGCCTCCGCTTACCTTCCCCCTGCCCTGCGCGTCTTTGGGTCCACCGCTGCCACCTCAGCCACCTCTCACTTTCTGCCGCTACCACCTCCACCGCCACCCCGCCACCGTCGCCCGCCGTTGCACACCGCCACCCGCCGCCAACCCGTCGCGCAGTAATTACCTCCGCCCCACGCCCACCGCCACTTGCCACCGCCACCGCCACCGCACCGCCACCGCCACCGCCACCGCCACCCCACCGCCACCGCCACCGCCACCGCCACCGCCACCGCCCACCGCCACCGCCACCAGCCACCGTCACCGCCACCGCCACCGCCACCGCCACCGCCACCGCCACGCACACCTCCACCATCCACCGCCACCGCCACCCCACCGCCACGCCACCGCACCGCCCTTGCCCCTCCCGTCTTTGCGTCCACCGCTGCAACTTCCGCCGCCCCCTAGCCACCTTCCCGGTCTCCGCCGCGTCTACCGCTTCCACCTCCGCCGGCCACCGGAGAAAGGAGGCCAATGGGAAGTGTCGGAGGTGGGGAGGACCGCCGACGAAGGCCACTACGACGAGGACGCGATTTGCCCGCGGAGATGTAAGAAAAGAAAGATGAGCGAATTGATGGGAGCGGCTACGTGAAGGGGTTCCTGAAAATTGCCTTTAACTTGTGATCTAGAGAGACGCAAATGTGAAGGTGACGGTTTTAGTTTCTTACAATTTCGGTTTTCTATTTATTTATCGCCTAGACCTGACCAGGGAAGAGAAAACTCCTTATTTCGTGTTATTTAATTTGACGAGGTTAATATGAAAGAGAAATAATATTTATCAGAAGTGATTAATTTATAAAAGTTTAGGTTCCCGAACGCGTCTCAAATTAATTATTAATTTAATTGTAATAATTCTATACTTCTAATTATTCCCGAGATACCGGAACGCCTTCTGCCGTGTTGCGCCACAACTCAAGCCCAGCTTATTAGTAACCGAATTAAAGCAAATTTCATCCTAATAACAAAGAAAATCAACGTTTTATAACTTATATCAGCTTTAAAAAAAACGACCAACCTAATACTGTACGTTTTTTCTTGTTGCTCTAATGATATTTTAAAATACATATAGGTTTGCATTCACGCTTTGCAATGTGTTCATTGCGGACGACGACTGGGCTCACGGCATCTCCAACTCTCTTTCACTGCTAGTAGATTTCATAAATACATATGAAATAACAAAAAAATATTATTCAAACCCTGTGTTTACAAAGGAAGATCATGTTTAGGACTGTTGGTTGACTAAAGGTTGACTGGCGGGATTTTAAGGAGCAACATAAAACCAAGAAACGTTTTATAACTTATATCAGCTTTAAGAAAACGTCCAAGCGAATATTGCTCTTTAATATCGAGTTATTTAGAGTAATTTCCTGCCCTATTGAATACTATTCATGAATGTATCAATTATATTCGAAAATGTGATTTATTGTTGCTTGCTCTAATAATATTTTAAAATACATATAGGTTACCAATCACGCTTTACAATGTTATATGTGCAGACCACGACTGGGCTCAAGGCATCTCCCATTCACTGCTTGTAGATTTCGTAAATGCATATAAAATGACAAAAAAATCTTATTCAAAAACATATGTTTAGAAAGGAAGAGCATGATTAGAAAAGGTCGACTGGCGGGAGCAATAGAAACCAAGAAACTAAATCGTAACGCTTTACGGCGTACGGTTGCGAATGCGACGGGCTCGTGCGCGGAGGCAAGCGAGCAGCGACAGGCCGTGCTGTTGGACAAGAGCGGCGCTTGTAGGCCGGCTAATGGCCGCTATCGCTCCCATAGGCATGATTTATTTTACGCACTGTGTAGGCGATATATTCCTCACGCGGAGCGCTTGGGTTTACGCACCCATGACGTCTCTCTCGATTTATCCCTCAGCCTCCCGGGTTCCGCACACGCCCAACGCCTCTCCTCCTCCCCTTTATCTGCCTCTTCCTTCCCCGCTCCTCCCCAACCTGCCCTGTCACTTTCCATCCCGACCTCTTCGTCGCGCCCAGCTCCGGCCCTTTCTGTCCCTGCTTCTCGTAACTCTACCTTGCCTGTTCCACCCCAACCATCACCATCTCCCTTATTTCTGCCTCATACTTCCAATTCAATTTTGCTATCCCTGTCCTTCCATCCTCGACCGGCTCTCATCGCTGTACTCCTTCACACGTGCTTCTCTCTCTCTCTTCCGCTCTGCTCACCCTTCCTTCTACCTCATATCGCCGTATCGCTGTCCGCTCTGCTCCTCTGTCCCTCTCAACACTGCTGCCTCTGATTTTGCCACCCAATTCTGCTATCCCTGTCCTCCCATCCTCGACCGGCTGTCATCGCTCTGCTCCTTCATGCGTGCTTCTCTCTCTTCCGCTCTGCTCTCTTGGTGCCTCTTCTCGCACCCGCCCGCCTCTCCTAGCGCTTATCGCTCGTTTTACACCCAATGGGCGGTCTCCCCCGTTGTCATGGCCCATTAAGTCGGGTGGAGTCTACAATGTGTGCTGGTGATATAAGCGATGTTAACGGTCGATAATACTAACAGAGAATTTGCATTCCTTTTCAAAGCTGAAAGCGTATTGTGTTATGTACCATTTTCTACGGCATTGTAGGAGAAAACTTCAGAAGTAGGTACATTGAAATAAAATTATTCACTTAAATTATAAACGACATGAATGTACTGAGAGTTGCTAATTACTTAATACAATTGATCTTTACGCAGGTGCTAATCATGTAATTACTCGCCTTCGATTATAACAAATCAAACAAACATTTTCTGTGATGCTATGTTTTGTCAATTAATTTTAATTTGTCTTTCAATGTGTCACCACAATGTGTCATTATTAATTTTGTTGAGTATTATTTTTCGTTCATTTCATCAAAATAACGATTCTAAAGTAAACTAAATTGTATAATCCCTGCAAACTCCCTACAAATCACAATCTTCTAACTCTGATGAATGATGGAAAATCTGAACGCGATATTAATATTGTAAATGTTATACAGTCATAAAGCACCTTTCATTCTCCCTTCGTCGTGAATAAATCAGGTTGAAACAAATTATACGGATTAATATCGAGGTCAGATCATGACAGTTGTTATTAACAAATGCTTACGCTATCCCTAATCGTCAATATTTCACTAAATTATTTTTACTTATACGAAAACATATTAAGCCTCTAATACGCAACCCAATTGAAACAAATCTATAATCTTCACTTCTCGTTATTTTTCATCTTGGGTCT